GGGCAAGGAAGTACCCTCTCTGGGCTCCTCTGACCTCATCTGTGCAAAGAGAGTCAGAATGTTTGTGAAGGTTGCTCCAAAACAGGTGATTTTTTCTGAGATCTAATCAATCACGAGGTGATGTCATTCAGTTAAATCCAACCAAGCCCTGAGCTCCAGGCTTGGGAAAACTCAGAGCCACCCATCCGGTCAGAGTAGAAATGCACAGAGGAATTGTCAAAGCAGAGCCCTGGACAGAGCATGGTCTGTCCTTCGACACACAGGGCAGTCCAGAAATGCTAGAAATGCTGTAAGAATCAGAGGTAGGATTCTCCTCCCCACCCAACCAGGGCTGGCATAGCCAGGAGGGCTTCCTGGAGAAGAAGGTGATTTTCTCAACTTTTCTCAACATATAACCTTTTGAGATTTTTTTTTTTTTCTGTCAGCGTAATTCCCTTGGGGCCCATCCAAGTTGTTGCAGGTATCAACAGTGCATTCCTTTTTATTGCTGAGTAAGTGTCCCGTGATGTAAATGGACCACAGTTTGTGTATCTGTTCTCCCACTGAAGGACATTTGAGCTGTTTTCAGTTTTTAGCTGTTATGAATACAGCTGCTATGAACATTTATGTAAAGTTTTTACATGAACATAATTTTAATTTTTCTGGGGTGAATACCTGAGTGCTATTGCTGGGTTGCATGGGAAGTGCATGTTTCCTTTTTTTTTTTTTAATTTATTTTTGGCTGTGTTGGGTCTTTGTTGCTGCACGCAGGCTTTCTCTAGTTGCAGTGAGCGGGGGCTACTCTTCGTTGCGGTGCTCAGGCTTCTCATTGTGGTGGCTTCTCTTGTTGCAGAGCATGGGCTCTAGGTGCGCGGGCTTCAGTAGTGGTGGCTCGTGGGCTCTAGAGTGCGGGCTCAGTAGCTGTGGTGCACGGGCTTAGTTGCTCCTCCGCACGTGGGATCTTCCTGGACCAGGGCTCGAACCCGTGTCCCCTGCATTGGCAGGCAGATTCTTAACCACTGCGCCACCAGGGAAGTACAGCACTATTTTTTATTTTAGCCATTCTGATAGGTGTGTAGTAGTTGTATGCCTTCACAGTCCCACACACAGTGTGAGAGTTCCAGTTCCTCCACATCTTCTGCAACACTTGGTATGGTCAGGCTTTTAAATGCTGGCCATTCTGGTGGTGTGTAGTGGTTTTGATTTGCATTTCCCCATAATAATGTTGAACACCTTTTCAGGTCCTTATTTGCCATTCATATATTTTCCTTGATGAAACGTGTTCAAAGCTTTTGCTCAGTTTTTAAAAACTGGGTTGTTCGTTTATTATTGAGTCATGCGTTCTTAGTATATTTTAGATTGGGTCCTTAGTCAGATACGTGTTTTGCAAATTACTCCCAGGCTGTGTTTTGCCCTTTTATTTTCATAGTGGTGTCTGTCCCTGACCCAACTTCCCTTTTCTTTATAGCCTCCCCACGCCCTGACACGTGTTTTTTTTTTTTTTATAAATTTTAATAATGGTTATGTTTTTTAAAATTAATTAATTAATTTATTTTTGGCTGCATTAGCTCTTCATTGCTGTGTGCGGGCTTTCTCTAGTTGTGGCGAGCGGGCGCTGCTTTTCCTTGCAGTGCGTGGGCTGCTCATTGCAGTGGCTTCTCTTGCTGCAGAGCATGGGCCTAGGCATGTGACATGTGTTTACTGCTCATTTCCCTTCTACACCGTCAGCTCCATGAGGGCAGGGGCTATTTTCCTGCTGTGTCCTCAGCTCCTAGGAGGTATTCATGCTGGTCCCCCAGCCTTATCATGGCTGCTGGGGAGCAGGGGTCTGGATTGGTGAGCCGAGACCTCAGAGTGGCTTGTTGCAAACTTCCAGGCCAGGGGTGAGGAGGCCTGAGCTGGGGCCTGGGTGGGGGCAGACGGAACAGCAGAGAAGGAGGGCCAGAGAGGCTTCTCCAAGCTTCCCTCCTCCCTTCTCCTGCCAGCAAAGCCGTCCTGCTAGCTACACATGCCCCACCGGCTGCCCAGCACTGGCATCACAGTCCTACCTGCCAGCCTGCCCAGACATAGGTGCAGCACCAGGAGTTTCTACAGGAAATTGATGTGGGGGAAGGTAGGGGAATTCCCTGGCGGTCCAGTGGTTAGAACTCCGTGCTTTTGCTGCCGGGAACTAAAATCCCACAAGCCATACGGGGCGTAGTGTGTGTTATCTACGTAGGGTGTGGTCCAGAGGTATGCACACCTCAGGCCTTTACACCCGTGCAGGGCATCTTTGTGTTATGATGTGGGTCTTTCTGTGGCAACAGAACAACAACTTCCTTTCTAGGATGGAAGGATTGTCGGCTCATCCCTGATGTCTTTTCCCTCTTCCGGGGCCCCGCCTGTGACTCTGTCCCTTTTCTCCATTCTGCCAACACCATGCCCTTTCTGTAGCCAGGGATGTCCTGCAGCGGTTCCCAGCAGTTGCCTACCCTCCAGCTTGGCCTGGTTACTGTAAGTCTTCAGTGTCTGTTTTTCAGTCTGTTAAAGGGGAATAATAATACCTACCGCGTAGGACGACTGATGGTGCGGTAAGATGCATATGGAGAGCTTAGCACGTGGCACGTGGTAGGGGCTCAATAAACAGTAGTGTAAACACGCACACAAAAGCATGTCCACGAGAGCAACTTCTGCACAGAAGTGAGTGGGGTCTGTCCAGGGAACCGAGCCTTGTGGGTTCACGCATACACATATTCACTCCTGGGTTCAGTACCCGCTGAATGAGACGTGCTCACACCCATGGGGTGGAGGCTGGGATGCGGACTCCTACACCCTGCAGCGCCCACACCATGTGACATACATCCGCACCCCAGCACCATGTCGGCTCTGTGTCTACCTGCCCCGCCACTGCCTTATCTGCTCTGAGAGTGTGCAACGCGGCCAGGTGGCAGTGCCTCCCAGTAATTTTCCACAGCTTGAGAGAAGCTGTGTCTCTCTTGGATATGGGGGAGGGGAGGGGAAGGCATTGTTTCCAAGGTGTCCCTTCTGCTGGCTTTGTCCTTGTAAGGCTGCCTGGCTGAGCTTTTGGGTGGAGGGGCTGAGACTTCCAGCCTGCACCTCGCCCGGAGCTGAAATGATTACTCTAGCTCCAACGTCCTGGCACACCCTGCCCGGGGCCCCGCTGTGCCTTGGGTCTGACCTCTGACAGCACCGAGCCCACAGGGTTCTATTTATCAAGGTCCACGCTGGGGCCTGGGGGCCTTGAGGGCAGGGGCTGTCTCCTACAGATCCAGGTGTAAGCAGATAGGTTAGGGGGTCCCCAGAGAAAGAGAACCAGGCATGGCTTTTTTTTTTTTTTTTTTTTTTTGCGGTATGCGGGCCTCTCACTGTTGTGGCCTCTCCCGTTGCGGAGCACAGGGTCCGGACGCGCAGGCTCTGCGGCCACGGCTCATGGGCCCAGCCGCTCCGTGGCATGTGGGATCTTCCCGGACCGGGGCACGAACCCGTGTCCCCTGCATCGGCAGGCGGACTCTCAACCACTGCGCTACCAGGGAAGCCCTAGTTGTGTCTTTTGACTCCACGTTCACCAAGAGGTGAACCCGGTTTTCGGGTAACACAGGTGCCCAGCACCCAGCACAGGTGCTCAGGAAGTGAATTGCACTGTGTTCCGACCCTGGGTACAGGGCATTAGGAGCTGCAGGCAGTGGTGGTTAAATGTGCCTCAGCTTCCCCATCTGGAATAATAACGATGGCGACTTCCTCACCTTGTTCCAAGAACTAAAGGAACACAGGTAAGTGCCTGGTACCACATAGGAAGCCCACCTCTGCTCCTCCTTCACTCCTGACTCACTGGCCCCCACGGTGTTCGGGGCTCTGGGGCCCCAAAAGTTCACAGGCTTTTGAAACTTACCAGCACGACTTCCCTCACGAATGGGAGGCTCCCTGTGGGCTGGGGGTGGGGTGGGGTTTGTTAGCCAACTTTAAAACCCGCGGGGGGTGGGGGTGGGGGGATGGGGGGGTGCTGAGGAGAGAGGAAATAGCCATTAACTCTGGCTTGCTTGGGCAAGGCAGGGCAGGGAGGGTGGACTCAGGAAGGACGGGAAGGCTGGCTAGAGGAAGTGGCTTTTGATCCGGTTAGGTTTTCTTCAGGGAAGGGAAGGGCTTCCAGGGGCAGACAATGGGAGGAGGGGGCCACCAGAATAATAAGATCACTAGGGGACACTAAAGCAGCTGCGTAACGCTGTGCCGAGCCCGTCTATGCGCAACCTCATTTGGTTCTCTCAACCACCCCAGGAGGCGCGCACTAGCGAGCGTCACAGGTTTTACAGACGCGGAACCTGGGACACGGACGGGTGTGTGGTCACTGGGACTCACGGGATCCGAACCCAAGCTGGTCCTATTCTCAGCTTCCGGGTGAGAGTATTTCTTGATGAGGGAAGAGCACGGGTGGACACTCACTCATTCACATTTGGGCACCGAACGTGTGCCCAGCCCCCTTTTAGCTTCTGGGTACCCAGGGATGGACACGGCGGACAAAGTCCCGACTTTCCCGGGGAGCTGGGGAGAGACAACAAGTATACGTAACTTCGGGTAGAATTCTGAAAGAAAAGAACGCGGGGCTGGGGGAGGGGACTGGCGATTTTAGGTCCGCAGGGTCTTTGGCAAGCAGGGCGTGTTTGGAGACCCGACATTGGCCCGGGTCTGGACCCAACTCGGGTTGGAGAATAGAAGCTGTGCATGAGTGTGATGCAGGGCCTGGCTGCAGAGAGGCGCCTCCGATTGCACTTAATAGTCTCTATATCCCTGCAAAGTGCGCCCGCGCCCATTTTGCAGATGAAGAAGCTGAGAACGCGCGGTGAGCAGCTGCAGGCGGAGTGCGAACGAAGGCTCGGCCCAGAGAGAGCCCTCCGCGCACTCAACCGCGCCTGCGCCGGAGATGGGGGCGGGGCCTCCGCGGAGGGCGGGGCCGGCGGCTAGGGAGCCGTTGGTTTTGGGGCGGAACCTTCGCGCGGCGAGGGCGGGCGCACGGGGCAAGGTTTTGCCGAAACGCCACGGCCGGCCTCCGTGGGAGTCGCGGCTGGGGGCTGCGCGTCATCTGCTCCGGCTCCGGCTCCGGCTCCGGCTCCGGCTCCGGCTCCGGGTGCGCGCGCCGTCCCCCCACCCGCAGACTGACTTCCGCCCGGCCTCGCCCAGCGCGAGGGGTGCGCGGCCTCCCGGAGCCCCCGGAGACTTGGACCGCTGAGCGGGAGGAGGCGGCGGGAGCGCGAGCTCCGACCAGCGTCTCGGCGGCGCCGCGGGTGAGCTGGCTGGTTGGGGAGGCCCGGGGGTGCCGGATGGAGAGCCCCTCAAGACCCCCGGCCTCTCTCTGGGTCCACGGCCGCCTCAAGGACCCCAGAAGCTCGGTTCCCAAGACCCCCGTCTCACCCGCCCTCGGGAGCCCCAGCCCCCAGGACCCCTCGGGATCCGCCCCGGCCCCCGAGACCCTGTCGGAGTCCCCGGCCACCTCTGGCACCTACACCTTCAGGACTCTCGAGCCCCCAGACCCTTCAGGATTTCCCCTAAACCCCGATACCACCTGAGGCCCTCCCGCCGTTTCAGGGCCCCGGGACCCCTTAGGATCCTCGGTTCCAAAAACCCCCAAGATTCCCTCAGGACCCCCGAGACCGTCCCTGACGTTCCCATCCCCGGGTTCCCTGAGGCCTTCCGCGCCATCTCTCCCTAGCTCCTCCCCCGGCTCCCTGGGCCGCCGTCCCCACCCTCGGCGTCTGCCCTGCCCTCTGCCACCGGCCCCGAGGTTCAGTTGCCGTTTGCCTCCCTCTCCTTGCTGGTCTCGAGGCTGGGTTTCTCAAACCTGAGGTCCGTGGACCAATGCGGTGTCCGTGAAAGTGCTCCTGGGGGCTCGTGAATTCTTGATAATATAAAAGAAGTAGAGTCACCTGATGACCCTTTGTAACCAGGTAGGGGTGTGATCTCAGCGCAGGCCGTGGCGTCGTGTTTACTGTTGCATTGAGGCCAGAGCAGGACTGGGTTTAATTTTCATGCTCTGCGGTGAGACTCATGGCTCCACAGAAGCGCCTAGAAAACAGATCCGATGTGGTGCAGGGTGGCCCAGCTAAGTAGGTGAGAGCCTTGGGGCGGATCAGGACGCTTTGAGCTTGTCTCCTAATTTTGTCATTCATGGAGCTAACTTTTTTTTTTTTCTTTAAATGGATGTGGTGGGAGAGAATTGTTTGGAGGAAGCAAGACCACATGAGAGGTGGAGGTGACCTCGACCCCGGGTGGTGGCAGTGAGGACCGTGGCTTCTTCAAGCACGGCTAAGCTTCTTAAAGTCTAGACCCAAAAGACTAAGTTTACAGGAATTGGCACTGGAGCCAGAGATGACACAGTCCCTGCTCTCAGGGCCACAATGGAGGGGGATAGTTAAGCACCTAGGTAGTTTTTATATGGCCTTGAACTTAGATGGGGTGAGGGTCAGATTCTCAGGAAGGGGTGTTATGGAGAGCTTCTTGGAGGGGAGGAAAAGTGACAGGTAATAGGTGAGCTGATTCTTGAAGGTTGAAATAAAGAAGTTTGCCAGGGGCTTCCCTGGTGGCGCAGTGGCTGAGAGTCCGCCTGCCGATGCAGGGGACGCGGGTTCGTGCCCCGGTCCGGGAGGATCCCACATGCCGTGGAGCGGCTGGGCCCGTGAGCCATGGCCGCTGAGCCTGCGCGTCCGGAGCCTGTGCTCCGCAACAGGAGAGGCCACGACAGTGAGAGGCCTGCCTACTGCAAAAAAAAAAAAAAAAAAAAGTTTGCCAGGGTCACTCCAGGCAAAGGGACAGTATGTGAAAAGGTAGAGAGGCAGCCACAAAGCACATGAGATTTTGGAAACCAAGAAGTGGTCTGGAGCATAGATTCATCCTGGGGGCGTGGCTGGAGATGTAATACCTCCTTAATGAGCAAGGTCCTCAGGGGCTATTAGAGGGAATCCTAAGTGGGAAGAATCCAGCTTTGTTCCCTGAGGCCCACCGTGCCCTTGGCCCTTTCCCCTTTCCTGAATTACTGCTTCTCCCATCCCCCTGCGTAAGTGATGGTCCAGCTCCAAGCTGAAGAAAGGGGGGCGTTGTCAGTGGAGAGGAGTGAGGGAGGTGTTCTGGATAGAGGAGACCAGAATGGGGGAAACGGGGAAGCCTGGCAGAGGGCGGGGTTTCAGGCGTGGAGTGGCAAGAACGGGCTGGGCCAGGGTAGTCAGGACCAGAGCAAGAGGAGCTCCTGAAGCCTGGTGGAGGATTTGGTATTTGAAGGGAGTGGGGGGCCATCGAGGGGTTTGAGGAGGGGAGTGAAGAGGGATTTTGTGATTTTGAACAATTGCTGGGTCTGATGTGGGAGAATTGTTTGGAGGAAGCAAGACCACAGGAGAGGTGGAGGTGACCTGGACCAGGTGGTACCAGCGAGGACCTCAAGCACGGCTAAGCTTCTTAAAGTCTAGGCCCCAAAGACCTTTCCAGCTCTTTCTTGTCTCAGCCCACCGTTTTCTGCCTGGGGACTGATGCTGGTAACTTGTTAGTCCTTTTAGGGGAGGTTTTGGTCTTTTGCCCATAGGTCACCTAGGGCTTCATCAGGGTGACTGTGTGTCAGAGTGAGCCCAGCATCCACCCCGGAGGTGCACATGTGGCACAGTGGGCAGGGAGAGGAGAGGCTGGGGCTCAGAAGTGGAACCAGATCATGGAGTGTTTGGAAGCTGGGCTTGGGGGTCCTGAAGGAACTGGAAAGCCCTTGAAGGAGAGACGAGTTCAGATGTGTTGTGTCAGAAACGTCACTTTGGAGACAGGGTGGGACCAGAGGGGCTGAAACCGGAAGCAGGGTGGCTGTCAGTCCAGACAAGTTGTGAGGACTGCAAGGCATGGCGGAGGGTATGGATTAGAGATTGATCGAGAATAAATCCACAGGACTTTTATTTGTTGAGGTCTGGACTTGGGTGAGGGGCAGGGAGACTCGCCAGGTACGATGACGCTGTACAGTAGAACTTTCTGTGATGATGAAAACGCCCTGGATCTGTGCTGTCCAGTTCACTCGGCACGTGTGGCTGTCAAGCATTTAAAACGTGACTAGTGTGACCGAGGAACTGAGTTTTAAATTTTATTTAATTTCAATTGATTAAATCCAGGAAGGATACCCATCGCGTGCACATGGTATAGTGGGGATCGCACTATTGTGGGCTCTGCTGTTTTAAGTGTTACCCCTTTTAGTGTTTGCAGCAACCCTGAGGTGTAAGATATTATTCCTTTTTTACAGATGAAGGAAACACAGCTCAGAGAGACGGAGTAACTCGACCCCATATTAAGTAGTACAGCTGATACTCGGTTAACTTCTAAGCCTGGACTCTTTCTGCTGGATCCTACTTCCTCCCTCAAAGAGCCTCAAGGTCTCTTTCCCAGGAGACTGAAGTCCTCTCCAGTGGTGGCTTTGTTTCCCAGCTGAGCCCTCCTTATCTGTTCCTTATCTTATATTTGCTTGCTAAAGTTAACCGGACAGCTGTGTGGTGAGCTGCCAGCCCGGAGCAAACAGAAAGCTCTTCTGAGCTAGTTGTTTGCCCGAGGCTTCTTGCTGCCTCTAGTATCTTCTAATGCTGGCTGTTTCTCTTAGCATTTCTGGAAAATGAATGGAGCGAGGAAGCAGGTGAACCTGCAGATCAGCCAGACTGTGTGGCTTGGTATTTATAAAGATATGGTCGTAAAAAGAGGTACAAATGGGTACCTTACATGAAGTTTTGGGGTCACAGTGGACCAGCTGGTGCCCGGGATAGTGGCAAGATTATGGGACATAAGCCAGGAATGAGTTTATAGCTTGTCCCCAGACTCCCTAGGGGACCTTGACCAAGTCACTGCCTCTCAGTCTCAATTTTCACATCTGTTATTTAGAGTATTTGACATCGCGGAACCTTTAAGATCCCTCCAGCTCTAAAATTCTATAATTTTAGATTTCACTGGAGGTTTACTTTCTAGAACATCTCTTATTCCTCTTGGGATGGATAAATGCTGGTGCTTCAGCATTTGGCCTCTGCATTGATACATTTTAATAAGCCATTATTGGCTTATTGTTAAGTAACGTGTCTATTTGAGCTGTGCAGCATGTCACATCTGATGAACAGGCTGTTAAGCAGTGACCACTTCAGTTGTTGGCAGTGTTCCTGGTAAAATGTCAGGTATGTTTGCTTGCCCTCCTGAGCTGCACTGATGATTGGAGAAAACCTTCAAGGCTCCATTTAGCATGGTGGCTGGCCTCTTAAAAGGGTTTAATGTCAGCGTTGGCCAGGTGAGAGGTAATAAGAGCCACGTCACAGGGTTGTTGAGAGCTTTACGTGAGAATGCACGTAAGGTGCTTAGTGTTTGCCCTTGAATCTAATAGGGGCGTAGAAAGTGTCAGTAATTAATGTTGCTTTTTGAACTAAACTGTGGCCTTTAAATTTTTTATTAGTGGCGGGTTTTGTTGTTTTCTCAGTTTGAGCTTATGTGCCCAAGCAACTCTGGAGGCGCTGGTTTCAAGAAGCAAATGAGCACATTTTGATCATTACAAAATAAGGACTTTTTTCCCCTTGCAGTTTATTTTGACTGAATAAAAAGTGATTCGTTAAGTAGCATGTTTTCAAATTAAGGTTTTGTATTTCCTGTAACTTGAAGAAAACAATTCATCCTGAAGATCTCTTACTAGTAATGACTGGGTTAAGTTTTACCAGAATCCAGGTTAAATGAATATGTCATTGTGGAGAAGCAGTGTTGAGCCGAAAGCTTCCTGTTGCTGAGGGAGAGCAGCTGGCTGCTGAGGTGGTTTATAGTAATAGATAAACATCTTAAGGTTAAGTGCCTTTCAGATATTTGACTCACTCAAAATCTTCGCGACAATCAGTGATGTGGATGATGGCATTCCCATTTGACAGATATGGAAACTGAGGTTCAGAGCGATCTCGGGGCTGGGGGATATGGTGGTGTCTCCTGTCTCCAGATTCTGTATTTTCTCCACCAGAGCCCCAGGTGTTGTGGTTTCAGGGCAAGCCTCTCCTTTGCAGTTCTGGAAGCTTAATTATTCAAGGTCCATTTGTACCTTGTTTTCAGCTCAGATGAACCTACTTAGGCTAACCAAACTCGCCAGAAATACCTCTACCAACCAGACCCCAGATGATTCGTTAGTGGTTAGAAGTCTGTCAAATGTACTTGAAAACTTCCTCTTGTTGCCGAATGATTTCTGCTTCTGTGGCCCCCCTCCCGGTTAACACCGGGAACCAGATTGCCGTGAAAAAGGCAGTTGGAGGGACTCAAGTTAGAGAAAAGGGTGAGGAGGAGGATGTTGAGGACCACGTGTGTCAGTGTCAGTGAGCTGTAGCCCCAGGCACTCCTGCGATACTCGGATGGAGCTGGGAAGAGCTTGCTTCGTGGCCGGAGGCCTGCAGACCTGCCTGGGTGTAGTCACAGGGCGATTGGTTTGGCCTCATTTGAGGACATTCCAGTCCTTAGGAACCACACTGGCTACAGGGGTTCCATTTAATACTAGTATTAATATTTCAGGTCTCCTGTCTCCTGTGAGTAGCAGATTTATAAATCATTTCTTAGTGTGGGTTACTTTTGTAACAGTAGCAGAGTGTAATACCAGAGCTAGCTGTGTTGCCAGGCCTTTACATTAATCAAGTCATTTGTAGTCACAGTGACCTGACTTTTTCCACAAATTCTGGGGGCATCTTATTCCATGACTGTGGATTGGGTACAAGTGAGTTAAAAGCGAGCATTTGGAAATTTTCATGAATATTTGCGATGTCCCTGTGTAAGAGGAATACGTTTTGAGCGTGTCTACTGTAGGCCCCTCTTCCTTCATTGTCATCAGGGGCTGTACCACTTGGGAGCGCTCATCTCCCTGCTCTTATATACCACTCAAAACCCATGTGATTATTTACAGGAAGAAGTTAAGTTTTCTTAAGAATATCTTTGAGGATCCCACAGACTGGAAACTTCTAATTCAGGGTTTGTACTTAAGTGAAGATGTAATTTATAATAGAAAGTGATTCGTTTTAAGTTTTTTATTATGCTACTTGTAATAAAATACTGTTCTTTTTAAAAAAATATTTATTTATTTGTTTGGCTGCACTGGGTCTTAGTTTAGGCATGCGGGATCTTTGTTGTGGCATGCGAACTCTTAGTTGCGGAATGCACTCTTAGTTGCGGAATGCACGTGGGATCTAGTTCCCCAACCAGGGATCGAACCCGGGCCCCCTGCATTGGGAGCGCGGAGTCTCAGCCACTGGACCACCAGGGAAGTCCCTAAAATACTATTATTGACAAATATTTTCTCCCTCCCCCCTCAAAACTTTATGGACCCTTTTCACTCATTGATCTGTGCTTTTTTTTTTTTTTTTTTTTGGTCTTGATACTTTTGTCTTTTTTCCCATCCCTCTGCTCTTTCTGGCTGTGTAGAATGGTGATGAGCCCTTCAAAGAACGGCCAGTTCTGTAGATCAGCACCTGGGCCTGGTTCGGCAGGACTCAGGCTGGCCTCGCTGGGGTCGCTCACGCAGTTGTGGTCATCTGGCCGCTTGCCTGGCGTTGAACGGTCCCTCGTAGCCTCGCATGCCTGTCGAGTGGACGGTGCTGGGTTGTCAGCTGGTGTGCTCTCCATCGGTGGCCGTCCAGGAGGCTAGACTGGGCTTTAGGAGGCTGAGTTCCAAGAGGACAGGCTCCAGCGTCAACATGCTTATCAAACGCTCGCTTGCTTGTTTGCCGACATCCCATTGGCCAAAGAAGTCACATGACCCAGCCCAGAGCCAGTGAGAGTGGGACTGACTGCACAAGGGCCGGGGGACCAGGAGGCATGATGGAGCGGGTCGGGGAGGTCACTGACAGTCTGGTGCAGTGGCGTTAGGGAGCTGGGGAGCGGGACTTCGTTTTGCTCGCTGTAAGTAACAAGTTTGGTGTTTGTAGTTTATTCTGTTGTGCATTAGACTCAGTTTGGTGAACATTTATTTAGTGCTGGACACTAGGGATTCAAAGGATAAGTAAGGCAGTCTCTGGCTACTCTGAAGTTCATAAAATACTCATGATCTCCGATTTTAAGCAGAAAATATCCTATTCAGACTTTTATTCATGGCTTTAAATAAAAGGACAGGAGCTGCTGATACAAACCTGTGCTGGGGCCTGATTTTGCTTTCAGAAAATGCGCATAGGTCCTGGGAAAAAGGGTTACCATGGTGACTTGGCTTTGGGCCTGCAAAGTGTGGTGACGACACGGTCACCAAGGAAGCCAAAAGGTGCCGTGTCTAAAAGGTCTCTGAAGGCTTTTGTTCCTGTTGTCTGGAACCTGACTGGGTTGGAGGAATGGTGTTAGGGATGTAAGCAGAGCCCCAGAGGCTTGCCCGCCTGCAGGAACTTCTAGGATCGGGCACTGGGTGCTTTGGAGGGAGAGCTCCTGCTTGGCCCTTGGTTTAAAACCAAGGAGAGAGTTGGGGTACTTTCTAAGTCATTGTGAGATTTGGCTCGGATAATTATGCTGCTGAAAGAGCAGGAAATGAGGTAATGTCTTTCAACATGCAGTGTTATAATGAACTGTAAACGTCTAAATATGGGCAGCTGTGCAGTTCATCATTACATCGTTATTGTGTTGAGATTTAATGTAATTGGGTACTTCCTGTGTTGGCTACTTTGATCCTTACAGACCCCCACCGGTATTAAAGCTTAGAGGCCCACCTGCCTATTGAGTCTGGAGCGTGTGCGGTTCTGTGGGAAGTGCTGCAGAGCCAGCGCCGGGCTTTCATCACGCTCGGGAGGCGAGTGAGTGCTGAGCGCTCCAGCCGGCAAACCACCAACCAGGAGCGCAAGCTGTCGCCTGTTATGTACATGCTCAGTGCTTGCAGTGGTAACTTGTTCTTCTGGAAAACTTTGAAATCACTTAATTCTGGAGTTAAGTCCAGCCCACAAAAGTTTAATTTGTTCATACCTTTTTGCAGATGTGTAAATGCAATGTGTAGGTTTTCCATTTGTGTCTACCTTCGTACATATATGGAGCATCGAAAGCAGCTGAGCAATAATTGAAAGAACTGGAGAGAGATTTTGAAAGTTCTTCACGATGGTGACAGTTTGGGGCATGTGATTTCTTAAGCCATCGGTTGACCAGTGACTGTTTAAAAAATATTCTAAAATGTCTTGTAGAGCAGGATGAGGTAAAAGACTCCTTTCCCGGTGGGAAGGAGTAACTATTCTCAAGTGATGTAGATTATTTGGGGGAGCAGGATTGGGGGGCAGTTGGCTTAGTCAGCCAGTAAGCATCTTGTATTAACCTTTCACACAGGCTTGAACAGGAAGGACTCTGAGTTCCGTCATGAGGTGGAAGGTTGAGAAAGGAAGTCTGCGGCCTCCTGAGCTCTGTGACTCCAGAGGTTGAATCCAGAGCATCTTTCCTATGAGAGGTTCTCAAGCTTTCAAAGCTCGGTCAGTTAGCAGGATTTCCTATTTCATAGCTGTTGAAACTGAGGATCGACGAATAGTTAGGTCGGTCATTGGAATCTCCTGGCCGGGGCCCAAGGTTGCTTATTCTCGGGATTATATAACATAGTGGAAAACCTCAATATCTGTTCCTTTCCTTAGGAAATATCTAGTAGATAAAACAGAAATGGAACAATCTGACCTTTGATGACTCAGATAGTAACTCCACAGTGGGAAGGAGTTAGGGCCGATCACCAGCCTTGGGCAGGGGACGGGCATCAGGGAGCCGCACTTTCCTCGCCTGCAGACTGGTCTCTTAACATTTGGGGGAAGGTCACAGACACCTTTGGGAGTTTGAAGGGCGCTCTGGACCCTTTCCCATGAGCGGGGGTGGGGGGAGATGTGCACGGGCACCTGCACAGAGTCCTTTGTGCATTTCCAGGGGATGTTCTTAGGATCCTGTTTAGCTTTAAAATCTACAGATGCGCATAGAGTGATCAAGCCTTGTTTCCTTCCCCTGGAAAATTGTTTTTGGTGACCTAATTCTAATTGAGGGGGAAAAAAAAGATTATACATGTGAAAAGGTGGTTTTCAATGAGTGCTGGTTAGGCTGTGCAAAGCAGGCACTTAGGTGTTCTGCTGACCACTTTTCTGGAAAGCAGTTTGGCGGTAATGTGCTGAGATACTTTACAGAGTTCATATTCTTTAACTGAGCAATTCTGCTTGTCAGAAATCTCTCCTAAATAAATAATTTCAAAATAGACGAAAACTTTGTGCACAGAGATGGTTGTCAGAGTTATGGTAATGCCCTACATTGGGGAGGTAGGTAAAGTAAAGGATAGCGTATCAGCAAGATAGAATTTCATGTGTGTTGCTGTTACACTTATATTTAGGAATAGTTTTGAATAACATAAGAGAAATACTTTTATTAAAATGCATGAAAAAAGTAGGATATGACCTATGATCTCAAATGATGTAAAAATTTTAAAGGAAAAAGTCTAGAGGGAACTCTAGAAATGCTAACAGTCATTGCTTGTAGGTAGTAGGATTATGGGCTTTTTAATCTTTTTTTTTCTGTATATTTCCTTCTTTGCAGTAAATGTTAGGTAGAGAATTGGGGGGGGGGGGATGTGATTCTGGAAAAACGATAGAACATGGAGATAGTCTGGCAATAGAGACCTGGCTGATTCGAGAGTCGCGTTTTATGTAAGCTAAGAATTGACCTTTTACTTCGGTTATTCCCTTGGACTGGATTTCAGCACGGCCAAGGGGGGCCTGGCGTCTCCTCGGAAGACTTGCTGGGCGTGTCCTGGTCCCTCTCAGTGCACTGCTCGGTGCCCTCGAGAGCTTGGACAGGCCTGGAAACCCGTGTGTGGCTTTACTTTGTCGTGCCGTTGCGTTGCCTTCCTTCCGTGATAAGTCGTTTGTGTTCGTGTCACCTGGAAGCGGTTCTGGAGCAGAGTCATGAAGGGGCAGTGAAAACACCCAGTGCTGAACCGCTGCACCACCTGCGCTCCCTCACACTAGTTTCCCTTCATTTTCCCCCCAGTGTCGGGCTTTGCAGAATCTGGGTCTGAGACTTTGCCTGGCCTGTTAAGTCACAGAATTAGGAATGGGGGCTTAGGAACCGTTTTGGGTGTATGTTCTTGTATACTATGCTTTTCAGTTATTCTAATTTAAAGAAAGCTCCAAGACCTTTGATTTTAATTCCACCTCATCTCTCTTCCAGGGTACTATTAAGAGAACGTTCATCTGGGAAGTGGAAGTTGCTTCTGACCGATTGCTTCTGAATCTCTTTAGGATTTACAGATGGATTCCGTGGAAAAGACAACAGACAGAAGTGAACAAACATCAAGGTAAATGAAGTCAACTGCACCCCAAACAGGCGCATAGCTTCCATCACAAGTCTCCTTGTATGTTATCTGGTACCCGGGAGGGTGAGCGAAGTGAGAACACCAGCTGGGGAGGGCGTCTCCGGGGCCAGGTAACTACCCTCTGCTCCAAAGTAAGGAACGTTCGCAGAGGCAACTCTCTTTCTGCCCAAGGAGGCGACGGTCGCCTGGCCTCCATACCGAGCAGCAGGTGACCAGAGGGTCACGTCTAAGGCTGGGGGTGCCACGTTTCACAGGAAAGAAACCTCTGACTGGGAGTGGGCGGGTTACACTTCTGTGAAGTGACGCAGGAGAAGGGGGTGCTTGCCGGGGGGTGGGTTGCAGAGGACCAGCATTTTGCCAGGAGTTTTCTTTTCTGTCCCTGTAATCAGGGATCATTTTATCACTATAGTCTGTATTTACAAGCCCTTTGCAGTTTTAAAGGAATTTAAATTGCTGAGATTTCTTGTGCACAAATACGTATCACTTAAGCGTGTGCTCAACACTATGGGGGACTCGAGATGAATAAGACAGTACTGTCCCAAGTCCCTTAGGAATGAGGATAGAACATGTGAGATTAATACACAAAAAGAAAAAGACACAGGCTCCATCTTGCGGTTAGTATAACTGGGGGGACGTGGCGTGTGTGTTTGTGTCCAGCACGGGCTGTGTTTGACCCGACGCCTCTCGGATGTTCCCAGAGTGCATTGTTTTCTTCATGGTTGCAGTACTTCCACGTTGGCTTTCATTCTTTCCCTCCCTTGTTTTTAAGTAGAAAGTTTTTAAAAAGCCTCATCCGGAAACAGCCCCAGGAGCTGCTCCTGGTCATGGGGACGGGAGTCAGTGCCGCTGCGGCCCCAGGGATCCCCGCCCTGTGCTCGTGGAGGAGCTGCATTGAGGCCATCATCGAGGCCGCGGAGCAGCTCGAGGTGCTGCACCCCGGGGACGTGGCCGAGTTCCGCAGGAAGGTGACCAAGGATGGGGACCTGCTGGTTGTCGCCCATGACCTGATCCGGAAGATGTCCCCTGTAAGTCTTTTCGCACAAGTGCGTCAGGTCTCACTGGGGACACCTTGGCTGTGGGCCAGGTTGGTGAATGAGTCTAGCGTTTAGCCTTCTCCAAGCCTGCATCGTGTCTGTTTCTCACCGAGTTGGGCTGACAAGCCAGAAATCTTTCAGTTCATCAGAATATCGTCCCTTTAAACAGAGCGGGTGCCGAGCACAGTGTGGGCTCCTAAAACAGTCCTTGTTAAACAGGGCCTGGATAGGGGGCTTGTCTCAGGGAGGTCGCCGTGCTGCTCTGGGGACCAGCCTGGTGATCTCACCCTCGTTTAGCGAAGGGACAGAGCAGACAGGTCTGCGTTTGGTCCAGGCAGGCCAGCTGCGTCCCTTCACACGACTGGGGCTTCCCAGACATTGTAAGATGGGAGAAGACGGAGCTTCTTTGTCTGCAGGTGGAAAGGATCTAGCAGAGGAAGAGCGGTTGGTGATACAGGGGACACTCACTGAGTGATGCCCTGGAGCCAGTGGGGCGGGTGCAGAAAGGGCTGAGCTCACACAGGTCACAGCCAGGTCGTCATGGGACAGGACGCACACGGGGAGCTGGACGTGCGGCCGAGGCCCGAGGCAGCTTTCTTTCCCTTAGGTTTGTTGAAGAAGTATAGCCGTCATCTGAAGTTGGGGTGGGCAGATGTTGAGGGTTAACTGAGAAGAAAGCCTGAGAACTAGTACGCAGAACTTCGGCTGCTGCAGAAAGAAACCCCAAAGTACGTGGCTTGACTGTGATTGCGTTTACATTTCTCACATAAACATCTGGGTAGGCAGCCCCAGCGGAGCACAGGGGCTTGACGGTGTGGGGAACCCGGGCCCCCGTTTATGGCTCCGCCGTCTTCACCGTGCAGCCCACACCTCATGCTCAAGGTTAGCTGCCCCGACTCCTGCTGTAAATGATGTGTGCCTGCCAGCTAGTGGGAAGGGGACAGAGGGGCCGTGCGTCCTCCCTTACGGGGGCTGCCATGCAAGCCGCTCTGTTTGCATGGCATTGGCCGGAGTTGTACATGTGGCCATACGTGGCTTTAGCAGAGTCTGGGTGGCGAGGCCAGGTGCGGGTGCTGTGTTAATGGGGAGCTAGCACCATGGGGCAGGGTTTTCGTGCTGCTTGCTTTGTAAATGGAGCTCTGCGTTCCTGGGCGGCTGCTTTCATGCTTCAGGGCAGAGTTGAGTATTGGCAGCAGAGACCGTGTGACCTGCAAAGCCTAAAATAGTTTGCTTCCAGGCCCTTTCTAGAGGAAGTTGCTGAGCCCTGTCAGGAGAGGGAGGGGCAGAGGCGATGGACCAGCGAAGGACCCCTCGGATGAGGCCGATCGTTCAAGTAGAGGCCAGCCAGGTGGCTGCTTGTTTAGTCAAGGAGGTGAATCTTTGGAGCATATCTTATTCTCCTCTTTACTTTTGTGTATTTTTGAGAACTTCCATAAAAAAAGAGTTCAAGTGAGGCAGTCAGAATGGTTGTGTTTTCCTCGTGTTCAACGGGATGGGAACAGGTGCAGAGGAAGTGGAGAGTTGGTTTTCTCAGGGCTGGGGTTTTGCCCAAGGATTCCAGCAAAGCCAGGGAAGGGCGGGGAAGTTGAAAGCGAATTTCAGGAGTAACTGCAGTGTTACATTATGGAATCTAGGCTGCGTGATGGGAGAAGTTAGGCTGGCGGGGGAGGGAGAGACAGTGGGTCAGCACCGTGGGTCCCAGTGGGGTGAAGTCCCCTGGGAGCCGCGGTGCTAAGAGTTGGGCAGGGGGAGGGAGAGGCCGGCCAGGGCTTCTGGAAAGGGTCCTGCTGCTGGTCATGATAAGGTTTGGGGTGTGGATGGCGGAGATGGGACAGGATCGCTGGAGGAGGGTGATGGAGGAATTTAGATATAGGAAGGATCAGCTGCGTGGATGTGAACCCAGCGTGAGCTGTGACAGAAGCGCAGCTGGAGAGACTCGGCAGCGAGCGGATGCCACCCTCGCATCCACCCTGGTCCGGAGTGTGCGGTGCCAGGGACGTGGGGAGCTGGTCTTCAGGGCAGAAGGAGGCGAAGGCTCACGGAAGCGCGTGACGGGAACAGCGCGGGGTCTCCAGAGCCGGGAGGGACAGGAGAGTCTCGGAAGAGGGGGCACTGAGCCCCGGGATGAGCGACCACCTGGGAGGACGTGGGGGGGCTCTGGTGGACGCTCCCGAGGCCGATGGCGGCGGTGCCGGGGGCGGGCAGGGGCCGGCAGAGGCGTTTCATGTGAACGCACGGGTCAGGCTCTACCGCCGTCCTGCTGGCCCCGGGGCAAGGCTGGCTGAGGGGCGCTCATGCCTGGAGTGCGTGAAGCATCCTCCTGGCGCCGCACCCCATCTCTCTGATCCCCTTCACAGCACAGCTCTTCAGGGGCTGTTGTATCCGCTCACCTCCCCTTGGAACCCAGCCCGGCCGGGCTCCCCTGAAGCCGCTCTGGTCAAGGCCACCAGTGACCTCTGGTGCTACATCTGGGGGCCCAGTCCCACTCCTGACCCTGCTCGGTCTCTCAGCAGCATGACACGCTGTCTTTCATCCAGTTCCCCAGAGCAGCAAGGCGGAGGAGACCGGTGCCTCTGTGGCTCCCGCGGAGGGGGAGGGAGCCCCGGTCTTCACTGTGGGCTTCAGGGCCCCACGTGATCTGGTTCCAGGTCAGCTGTCTGGCCTCACCTGCGGCACATGCCCTCACTCCTCTCCCGCCCTCAGCCCCACCTGTGCTCTGACCTCGGTGCCTGGCGCTGGCTCCTCCCCCGCTTGGACCACCCTCTCCAGAGCTGCCTCCCTCCCTCCGGCGCTCTGCTCGGAGGCCGTCCCGGGACCACTGGCCCGTCTGTGCTCTGCCGCGCGGCAGTGAGCCCCCTTCTCTGCTGGGCTTCCCCGCAGCGTGTATCACTGCTGACGTGTTTGCACGTTACCTGCCTCCCTCCCCCAGGGTTTCAGTAAACTCTACAAGGTCAGCCGTTTTCTCTTTTTTAAAAAACGACTGCATCCCTGGTGCCTAGAGTACTGTCGCCTGCCTAGGTGCTCGGTGGTGGCTGAGAGCCGGCGGTTTTGTAACTCCGGGTCCACCTCTCCATAGCGCACGGGCGACTCCAAGCCCAGCTTCTTCCAGGACTGCCTGCTGGAGGTGTTCGACAACTTGGAGCAGCACATCCAGAGCCCGCTGGTGCTGCAGTCCATCCTCAGCCTGATGGAGAGGGGCACCATGGTGCTGACCACCAACTATGACAACCTGCTGGAGATCTTCGGGCAACAGCACAACAAGCCCATGGTGTCTCTGGATCTGAAGGACAAGACCAAGGTGTGGGCCGGCCGCCCGGCGGGAGGCGGGAGTAGAGGCGGAGGCGCAGGCGTGTTTGCACTGCTGCTGTGGTGTGGCGCGGGCTGTCACCTCCCAGCAGAGGGCCCCACAGGAAGGGTGCTGTCTGCTCGCGGAGGCTCCTCTCCCCGCTGGAACGAGACATGAAGGGCCTGGGGCAGGGCGCTGCCGCCAGCTCCTCAGGACCCCTCGTCTGCCTGCCCTGGCTTGCGGTCTGCTTGTGTCCTGCACACCCGCAAGGGCTCTGTCATTGTAGGAGATGTGGGTGGTAAAGGCTGTGGTTCAGGAAAGCAAGACCACCTGCAGTCCCGTCGCTGTGAATTCTGGTTAATTTTGTTTATTATTTATTAACGAACACACCGGGCTGCAGCACACGCCAAGCTTTTGTGCTGACATTTTCCCCTTAACGTTGTACTGTGAGCATTTTCCTGTCATCAGACTGTCTTTAAAAGCATGGTTTTAAACGTAATTTCATTGTGAGACTAGATTATAGTTATCATTGTGAGCATATTTTCACAACTATAAATGATGCTACAGTGAAAATTCCTACACTTTTGATAAGTTCCTGGAGAACTTGTTAGGGTCAAAGGGTATGACCGTTTTAAAGACAAACGATGTGAATCACCCACGTGTTCTCCAGAAAGATCCAGTCTACGCTCCTGCAGCTGTGCGAGGGGGACTCCGTCTCCCATGTCTTGCCAGCACGAGGCGTTACTAAAAAACCTAACAAAACACATTTCTCCTGTTGGAAAGGTGCACATTTTACGCTTTTATTGCTAAGGTTGACCACAGTCTCATTGCATCGCTTGTATTTCTTGTGCGCCATGTGTGCCTGTGGATTTGTACGATCCCTGCCGGCTACGGCCGCTGCCTGTACCTGCTTCACTGCTGGTGGGCAGGGGGTCCCAGCCCCGCTCCACACGCAGGGACATCGAGGCCCGTTGTGATGCTGTCTTACTCGGGACCCGGAGAAGTGTGGGAGCTGCCCTTAGGCAGCCTGTCTCCCGGCGCTTGGCCGAGGAATTGTGACGGGGCCCCGGGCGACGCCTCGAGCGGGCCCCCCGTGACACGTGGCAGGACACCTTGCTCCCGTGTCGGAGCAGCGTGGCGCCGTCTGCGGGGCTGCTCCCTGCTGTACCGAGGGCCTCTGAAGTAAGCTGCATGTGGCAGGGAACAGAAGTGCTGGCTCAGACCTGCTCGTGGGGGGCGGGGGCAGGGGCGGGGGTTGCTCCATTTGTCTGGGGTTGTCAGTCCGGCCCGCTGATGTGAGAGCCCGTGGCGTGGAGATAAAAGGAATATACGTGATGTGCATCTTCTGTATCTTGAAATGAAGCCAGTTTAGAGCTATTTGATAAACTATTTTTTCTGTATATGTATATTTTTTCTGGGTGTACAAACATTGTATACCTAGCAGTAATTAAAATAAAACATGTGACTTAGAAGTGAAAGCCTTCATCATCTCCCTAAGCTCATCAGTCTTGACAGTGTGCTATAATCTGAGATGTTAAAGGTATTTTCTACATAATAGTGTCGGTCTCTGAAGAAGTTCTTTTCGATATGGCAGGACAGGAATAGCTAGCATTTAACACCTGAGTTTCTCTTAGGTTTAAAGATATAAACTGAAGCATCTCTTCCTGTTTCCCAGGTAGGTTTGAGAGGCCATGAGTCACTGTGGGTATTTTCCTCTTACACCTGTTTTAAATACCAGTGTTCTTCCTCTGTCTGGCTTGTGCTTTGCTAGGTCCTTCAGTGGGCTAGAGGACACATCAAATACGGAGTTCTTCACATTCACGGCTTATACACAGATCCCTGCGGGATGGTGTTGGACCTATCGGGATACAAAGACGTTACCCAAGACCCGGAAGTCATGGTACGCGCATCCTGACTAGGCACTGGTCGTACCCCTGGGGCTGCGTGGCGGCCGCTAGCCAGCAGTGGCGGTGGTCTGAGCAGGTTCCTGGCCTCCAGGCCTCCTGCCCCTCGGGTCACGCCGCTGCTCTCAGCTCTGTCTCCAGGGCCCGGCACAGGGCCTGGCACCTTGAATAGACGCTCAGTGGACTTTCCGTGATCCTCTTACTCAGGGTTCCAGTTACGTCGCCTCAGCATGACTCACAGGCCCCTGCACGGTCTGCAGCGCTCTTCTCTGGCCACTCCTCTCTACTCATCTTTTTTCTCTGTTCATTCAGGCATCTCCTTCCCCTTCTCTATTTAGCAATCTCTTTTAGCTTTCAAAACCTAGTTTTAAAATTTCATTCTCTGTGAGGCTTGTTTGATATCCTGGACAAAATGAAGTGTGGAGAAACTGCCTGCTGGCTTTTATAAACTCGTTTATTACGGCACTTAGGAAACCACAGGTCTTCACTGATTCGCTGTTGAGCGCAGTGTCAGGCCCTGCCTCCCTCGCCCTCCGCCCCGGGCACAGGGGTGACGCCCTCACCTTGCCGCTACTGCACCTCTCTCTGAGGTGTTTGGGTGTCGGAACTGGTGATTCTCTGCGTGCCTGAGCGACCCGGCTAATAATCTTTGTTTCCCTCTACGCCCACCCCCTTGGGTCCTTGTCACTGGTCTCCTCCTCAGCTCTCCTGCCCGCGCTCCCCAAAACCCTATTCTTCCGAGGCCAGGCCCCTCTCCGCAGAGTTCCCACCTGTGATTCACTGGGACAGAGGTCAATTCCAGGGCCTTACATATGCACAGCTCGGAGCTGAAAGAAAATTTCATGCTCTTATTTTATGTTTTAATCGTTTAAAATTGTACATAACTGTAGAAGATTTGAATTGAGTGACTACGCTGACAAGATGGTGGGTGGGGAGGGGTGGGCAGTAGCGCATCTGCACGGATTTGGGGACGTGGATTTGGGGCCTGGGCCGCTTGCCCTGGCTGGGAGAGGAAGGGGCTCCCTTCCTTTTGCTGCTTTTCTAACTTTGCTCCTCTGTGGCTCTTGGGAAAGGCCGGTTAGGGAGCAACGATTTAAAATCACAAATATCTACTTTACGTCGTAAGATCTCACTCACTTTCAGATGAGCATCTCGATCTCCTCGTTGGTTCTTTCACAGGAAGTTCTTCAGAACTTGTACCGCACCAAATCCTTTCTGTTTGTGGGCTGCGGAGAGACCCTCCGTGATCAGATATTCCAGGCCCTCTTCCTTTATTCGGTGCCGGACAAGGCGGATTTGGAGCACTACATGGTTGTGCTCAAGGAGAGCGAAGACCATTTCTTTAAGCAGCAGGCAGACATGCTTCTGCGTGGGATCAAAGTCGTGTCCTACGGGGACTGCTTTGACTACTTTCCGGGGTATGTGCAAGACCTTGCCACTCAGATCTGCAAACAGCGAAGTCCAGGTATGGGATTTCTTTTTTCACTGTTCACTATACAAATCTGATAGGATTCTTCCATTTTTTTCCCCCTTTTTTGTAGATATAAATTACATACCATAAAATAAAATTGAGAGGTAATTTTACATGCCATTAGATTTACCAGTCTTCTAGTTATTATTTTTCTTAACGTCTCTGTGTACTTTAAAAATAGAAGATTAGGGTTATTGGTATGACAGTAGTAGCGTATAAATAGAACGTTACCGTCAAAGCTGTGCATATAGTTGTACGCTTCTGCTCGTCACAGATGACATGCCATGCTTCAGATTACCTTAACCGAGAAAGAAAACTGCCCAGCCGGCTTCATCAGCTGTGATACTGACAGCCTGAAAAATGCAGATATCTCATACCTTTATCCTGTCACTACATTTTAAAAATTAAAACACGGCAGCACAAAATGATTTCATGAAGACTTTTCTTTTTTAAATAACATCTTTTCCCTGTTCTGCTGAGTGCAACACACCTTTTAAGTAATTTTCCTTGGCCCTTTGGGGAATTGATCATCTGCCAGGAACAACCAAGAGAAGTGAGCACTTAAATTGCTCGTCTTGCCATAAGGGCAGTTCATGGCTTTGAGTTTGGTGTCATAAAACACGGATGACGGCAGACTTCAAGAGGTCTGTATTGGCTGTCATGTCACGGTAATAGGAAACCCAGACATAGTCACCCACGCAGTGGAATTGGGTTAACCACAAAGCTGCCTGCATGTGACCGGCCATGAACTTGAAGACTAGAGATAACGCGAAGATCACGGGAACCAAATGCACAGATAGTCTAGCAGTCTAGCTTCTTCCCACTAGTCCTTTTCCGAATTGCTAATAATTAGCAAGATGGACTGACTTAAGTTGCATTCACATTAATAAAAGTGTCATTAGGGTGGCAGTCTGCTTTTTTTTTACTAAGGGAAAGAGCAGGGAGCCGACACTTGCTGTGTTACACACTGCTGTGAATTTTACATCCTTGGCCTTATTTCACTTTTGGTCACAGTATCCACTGCTACTAAGTAGGTGATTTTAGAGCTGATGAGATAGGCTCAGAGAGTTAGTGCCCAGGTATTTTGAAGCTGGGGCTGGGGTCCTGGACCGACAGCAGAGTGGAACATGCCTTCAGGGTGTCCCTGCGCGGGCCTGCGCGCTGGCGCTGCCGCTCCTGACCCACGGGGCCTCGCCCGGGGCTCCCGCGCCTGCCGCCGCTGGCGGGGCCTCCTGTCCCCACCCAGGCCCCCTTTTCCAGACCCTGGCAGCTGAGTGGACTTGACAGGCTGCTGGGGGCTGAAGGCCGTTTGGACTTGTAATGTGTGACCGTGTCCTTAGGGACGTCTGTACGCGTGTTCTTGAGGTGCTCCTCCTGCTGGGAGGGGCTGGTGGGTCAGCAGCAACCGCAGTCGTGGTGGCAGCTCCCCGTGCCCGGGCCGGCTCGGGGGCTTCACACGTCGGGGTTCAGCCCTCACGTCGGCCCTGGGGGTGGAGAGGAGGAAGCGCTGTGGAGTGGCCTCTGCTGACTGTTCTCCTTTCTTCCCCAGATGCCGATCGAGTGGACAGCACCACGTTGTTCGGTAAAGCACATCTTGGCTTTTGCCAGCCTGTTTTTTGCCTACGGGTTCCAGTGTTTTCCTGCTCTTACTTATAAAATCATAGATGTGTTTCTCACATTGAATACTTAGCCCGTGTTGCGTCAGGACAGCCCCGCCAGAGATGATAGATGGTAACACCTGCATGACGGTCCCTTGAACTGGGAAGCAGCTCTGTCAAACGTGGGCCATCCACTGGTGCCAGGAATAATTTCCTGTCCTGGAACCAAGAGTCTGGGGGAATTAGAACAGGAGTCTACTTGTATCATACCGTTGGGTCTAAGATGTAGTTAATTTTTTTTTTTTAATCGGATATAATTCCTTTACAGTGTTGTGTTAGTTTCTGCTGTATAATGAAGTGAACCAGCTCCATGTATACACATACCCCCTCCCTCTTGGCCCTCCCTCCCCCCCGCCCCCCGACCTAGGTCATCACAGAGCACCCAGCTGAGCTCCCCGTGCTGTACCGCAGGTTCCCGCGAGCTCTCTGTTTTACACGTGGTGGTGCATAATTTGACCCATCCCCTTCAGAGATTTTAATTGCAAAGGTTCTAAGTGTTGGTGTAAAATTTTCTATCTACTACGTGGTTGAAATGTCCATACTCATCTTGCAGGGCTCGACTCTGCCCATTTATGAGTTGACCAGGTACGACTGCGCTCAGGCTCCCGGCGTCCACCCTGGGGTGAACGTAGTGCCAGGTTTCCCCATGCTGGTCAGTCACTTGGGTTAGAAGGGGCTCTGGTCAGTGGAGCCGGAGGCCTTGCAGCCCCGGTTTCCCTGCCCCTCAGCAGAGCCACAGATAGAAACTTGGTAGTGCCGCACGGGCTTCAGTTAAGGAATTGTGAAACAGGCGCGCTCAGCTTTCCGTTTCTCCCTTATCTCCGTGGGAAAGGACGCATTTATTTTAGCTGCGTTCTCTGACTCCCAGAGTCATCCATTTCTTTTGAAAAAAGCATTAACTTGATAGACGTCTGTAGCGTATGGTAGGGATTAGTTGGTCAGTGCTTCAGTAAAATCAGATAGGTGTTTTTTAAATTAAAACAATTTTTTAAATTGAAGTATAGTCGCTGTACAATGTTATATTTTACAGGTGTACGATATAGTGATTCACAGTTTTTAAAGGTTATACTCCATTTATAGTTATTATAAAATACTGGCTATTTTCCCTGTGTTGTACAATATACCCTTGTAGCTTATTTTACACCTCATAGTTTTTACCTTTTAATCCTCTACTCCTATATTGCTCCTCCCCCCTTCCCTCTCCCCACTGGTAACCAGTGGTTTGTCCTCTATATCAGTGAGTCTGCTTTTTTGTTACTAGTTTATTATATTTTTTAGATTCCACGTGTAAGTGATACCATGCAGTCTTTGTCTGACTTATTTCACTTAGCATAATGTCCTTCAAGTCCATCCATGTTGCTGCAAATGGCAACATTTTGTTCTTTTTTTATGGCTGAGTAGTAGTATTCCATTGTATTCCAAGATGTATTCCACAACTTCCTTATCCATTCATCTGTTGATGGACACTTGCACTTTCTTCCATATCTTGGCAATTGAAATCATGCTGCTATGAACACCGGGGGGGCATGTATCTTTTCCAATTAGAGTTTTTGTTTTTTTCGGATATATACCCAGGAGTGGGATTGCTGGATCATATGGTAGTTCTATTTTTAGTTTTTTGAGAAACCTCCATACTGTTTTCCACAGTGGCTGCACCAGTTTACATTCCTACCAACAGTGTACAAGGGTTCCCTTTTCTCCACATCCTTGCCAGCATTTGTCGTTTATGTTCTTTTTGATGATAGCCATTCTTAGATAAGTTTTTTAATAAAAGTTTTCATCTTTCAGGTAATGCATGCCAGGACTGTGCAAAGAGGAAGTTAGAAGAAAATGGAATTGAAGTTTCAAAGAAACTCAGACAATCAGATACTGGTATAACGTCTTTTCTTTTTTTAAAAAAAATTATTTATTTATTTATGGCTGCGTTGGGTCTTTGTTGCTGCGCACAGGCTTTCTCTCATTGCAGCGAGTGCGGGCTTCTCATTGCGGTGGCTTCTCTTGTTGCACAGCACGGGCTCTAGGCGCGCGGGCTTCAGTAGTTGTGGCACGTGGGCTCAGTAGTTGTGGCTCGCAGGCTCTAGAGTGCAGGCTCATTAGTTGTGGCGTACGGGCTTAGCTGTTCTGCGGCATGTGGGATCTTCCTGGACCAGGGCTTGAACCCGTGTCCCCTGCGTTGGCAGGTGGATTCTTAACCACTGCGCCACCAGGGAAGCCCTGTAATGTCTTTTCTTTTTTGCAGATTGGCCTTATTTGGAGGTGTTTTCAGTCATAGTGCTTTGCTTTAATACCCCAGCCTCTTAGTGGAAGGAATGATACATAGATCATTCCAACTGCCCAGAGGTTCCTACTTTAACAATTTGTTTATTTAAGTTAGCATGTTATTGAAGAAAAACTCGCCAAGTACACAAATTGTAAGCAGCCCAGTGAGTTTTCACAAAGTGAATACACAATTGCGAAAACTCCCTGATTACCTCCAGTTCAAGAAACGAAACGGTGTCAGGAGCCTGCCCCTGCCTGCCCCAGGCCCCATCACTTTTTAGTCACTCCCTCGCCACCCGAGGGTGACCACTATCCTGATTTATGTCCTTAGTTTCCAGAGAAAACCACTTTTAATCATGTGTTTTTTGTTACCTCTATCACTGAATGAGATTTATTTAAACTATTTAAATATTTAGTTGAACTGTTTATTTAAATAGACAATCTCTGTCACCCCTAGGAAAGGGGATCTAGCATTCCCTCCCTCTCTTTCTTCCAGGTTTCCCTAGTCTGTACTTTCTTTCTTTAAATAGTGCACTTATGTTTTCTGACCTCTCGATACGAAGATGCAGCTGTAACGGCCCCTACCCTTCTCGCCTCCCCTTCCTCGTCTCACTTCCCAAAGCCCACCAGTTTTTACATCGTCAGTGTTGATCATCGTGGTCACGGACTGAGGGGAAAGAAGCCCTCCAGTTTGTCTATAGGTCGGTTCTAAAAGTTGGAAAACAATAGTTGCTTAAAAACACAGCAAGTATTTTTCCTGGTCAGCCAGCTGCGTGTTGTGTTCATGGGTCCAGTGCCGTGACTGCTGTGCCAGCTGTGGGACGTGTTCTTAGAATCAAGGTCCAGTGTGTTTCTTTCCCTAACGTTCCATTAATCACGCTCCCATTTTTGGTTGTTGCGTATTGGTGGTGTTTGTGTTGCTTTTATTTTGGGGGGAGTTTCTAGATTCTTTTCTCCTTATTGTCCCCCAAAAATCACATTTCACAACGTTTTTAAATGTACGTATTCTCTCAGTCATACTGCCCCTCATTTTCCGAGTCATCCCCTGACCACCTGCAGGCGTGTCACCCTGGAGCCCCCTTCCTTGCTGTCCTGGATTACCGCCCAGGTCTGCCTTCTGCCCACCGCACCCACTGCTGCCAGAACCTCCTCCGGTAGCCCCCACAGCCCCCAGCCCCCCGAGGACCGGCTCATCACTGTTGGTTGGAGCGTGGGATTCTTCATTCATGAATCCCCCTTGGAACTCCGCTGTCTTAAGCGGCCAAGTTTCCTGTTGAAGAGGGTTTGCTGCAACCCAGGTCTCTGTGATTTGTAGGTGACCTGTTCTTTCTTTTCTGGAAGCTTTTAGGATCTTCTTTTTCCTTGCTATTTAGAAACTTCATGAGGATGTGTATAGGTGAGCAAGGTTTTTATATACCTTGCTCAGTGTTTTCTTCCCTTCAGTTCTGGAATAATCGGGCTCCTCTGTTCCCTCTTCCTTCAGTCATATTAGTTGGGACCTCCTGGACTGATTTCTACTGTGTTTTCTCTAATGTCTTAATTTTCTTCAGAAACTTTCTGGAGGATTCTCAAAATACGTCCCACCCTTTTCTTTTTCGTTTGGGTGTTAATTTTATTGGGGTGTTATCGTTCATCTTTTTAGTTTGGGGTGTTATCGTTCATCTCCGGCAGCTCGTGTTTTCTGACTTAGTTGTTCTCACAGCATCTGTTGTTTTAGGGCTACGGTATCTTTTCAAATCTCTAGAGATACCAGAGACTTCCCTGGTTATCTGACTACTCTGTTCCTGAAAACATTAGAATAGAGGATTTTCGGATAACAGAGTTTATTTTTTATTAGATGAGAAAACCTCAGTAAAACACTCTTAAACACCAATATAATAATCCACCAAGAATTTCGGAGAGCTATGAAGCATTTAACGTGCTACCAGTTACTTACTAACATTTCAGTTAGGTCCGCAGTGCATATGTTTGAGCAGTACTGTGATACTGCATTTTCCTTCTACACCACAAGGGACGTGGACTGTTGAAATAGTTTGTTATGGATGTAAAAATTCATAATAAACGTTAAACAAGTAAGCAAACATGGCAGTTTTCTCAGTGGCTGCCTGCAGAGTGAGTTGGGCCCGGTGGGAGGAGGAGACAGGTGAGGTGGTGGCTCCTGCTGGCTGGCGGTGGTGGCGGTGAGTGTTGACGAGCCTTTTGAGGGGCCGGCTGAGTTCCAACCGCGGCTGACACTGCGCCCACCCCCCTTACATTTTGCACAACTACAGTGCACATATCTTTAGAGGAAGAATTCCATTTTGATAGTATTTTGGATAAAATTCTTTGCAGACTTTTAGCAAATATTTGGATTGTGAATCCAGTAGTTAGGGACATCTGTAACTAAATAAAAAAAATAAAACTAGTGTTCTTCGAGTTGTTCCCTCCAGGACAAGAGACTCTCTTCCTCTAGTCTCCTTCCTGCTGCGTGTTTCCCCATGTCTGGGGCTCCTCAGTTGCCTGCCAGCATTTAAGAAGAAGGTGGGCCCGGGTGACTGTGGATTTGCCGTGGCTGCTGCTGCGTATGCGTAGCTTTTCTGATTTGCCTCAGGATTTGCCGTGGCTGCTGCTGCGTATGCGTAGCTTTTCTGCCCCAGGCCGCCCTCTGAATTGGTGGTGTGTGTATAGGGCAGCAGGGCGGACTGCCTGGTGGACTTGGCTCCAGAGCAGTGGGCAAGCCAGTCTGTGGGCTCCTCGGGGATCCCCTGGATGCCAGCACCCACACCAGCAGCCTCCTCTCCAAGCAGGTCTGTCTGTAGAGCGCGCCCTCTGGTCTTTCTTACAGAAAGCTTTGTCCTGCTCTGCATGTGGGTGAGACCAAGGTTCTTCTCAGTGCTGCTGGCCATATGTGCAGGCTGGAGGGCTCAGAGCAGCACAGCAGGCTCCCACCTGCAGGCAGTCCCGTTGTGCACATACCCTGAACCTTCACTCTTGTCTACAAGTCAACAGGCTCCCGCCCTGTGTGTGCTGAAATTGCCCCTCACTTCCAGTCCGCTGAGAAGGGGAGAAGCACTCACATTCTCGGGTCGAGACTTCCATAGAGCTTTGCAAATCTAATGTTATCATTTACTTTGTCCTGTGGTGGTATTTATAACTCAGAAAGCCATTTTTAGACAGTGGCCACTATTTCCATTATGGAGGTATTTTCAAAGTCTTTAGCACATAAGAAAAACCATAATCAGTTTTTGAAATAAAAATCCCACGGCAGATACCTTTTTAAGGTCAACTTTAATGTTTTGGTATTCCTTTCTTTTTGTTTAAACAGATGATGCTGGAGGGTCTTGAAATCTTTAAGACCAATAAAACCTGCAACTTGAAAACCAGCCTTCTGTAACCACAGTGCCATCCCAAACGATGAGGAATGTTAGAGAACTCCACACAGGACCTCTTGATCTGAACCGTCAAATACCCCAAAAGAGCCATGCGGGTGTGTGGCCCTCAGAGGCTGGGTGAGGGAGTTAGGCGTTGTGTTGAACTGCTTGGGAGGTGACGCATACACGGCAGGTGTCCTTTGTGAGGACTGATACACAACTACCTCAGGGACCAAATCAATGGGCAGGGACATACCTGGTATTCCCGACTCCCATTTGATATGCCCTCTGTCAGGTGGTTTTTTTCTCTAATAAAAGGGGGAAAAGTAAAGACTGTCCAAGCAACAGTAGTTGCCAAAGAGAAAATAAGACACTAGACACTAGACACTTAAATTTTATAATTCTTGTGGAAACATCCGTTAGTGTAGAAAAAAAATTAGAAGTGTGTTTGTTACATTGTTAAATAGTAAAGAAGGAATGGAAACTGGAGGCACTGAGTCCGCCAGTGAGAGCGGTATGTTTTAAGAATGACTTGACCTGTAGGCTTCTTTGGAGTTGTGTAATTTCAGTTAGTACTTGGTCTCTAAAGAATGGCAGGTCTAACTGTTACTGAGAAGTGAAGTCTCCAGGAGCCAGGGGGCCTTTTCAGAAGCGCAGGTCAGTGTCCAAGTGTGTCATGCAATGGATAACTGAGAATTTATAAGTGGAGCACAAGACCAAGTTCTAAACTTTTAAATTCCAAGCTTTCCAAGCCTTTTTTCTATGGGTTAAGGTCCAACCTTTCTGTTCTTCTCAAAATCCTCTCCCCACAGCCCATACTAAAGGATTTGCACAGAGTGAAGTAGGCAAAACTTGCCAAGGGTCTGTAACACTTTAGACGTTGTCAGGGCAGATGGCGTGCTGAGCTGCGTGCTCGTGCCCAGGGAGTTGCTCTGTGGCCCTGGCGCTGTCCCTGCTTGGTTTCTGTGTCAAGGCTGCCTGTCCTGTAGCTCCCCACGGGTTTAGGGAAAGTGAAGCATGAAGTTGGGATGTGTAGGGAATGAGAGACAAGCCAGAGAGTTGCTTAAGACCTTTTTTGTTTTTTTTCTTTTTGAAGCATGGAAAACAAACCTTTTATGTTACTCTGGTCAGAAATAAAATTTTACCTTCAATTCTGTTTGCTCAACTTTTCTTTAGTTATGACAAGGTATGGTATCAGGTATTTAATGAGAATTTTTACCTTGAGTTGCCACTCAGTTGTGAAACTGATTACTTGAATGTGTT